TTCAAGCACATAAATATCTTGTATTTTAGGGGAATCTCATCCCAACTCTCCTCAATCACATATCTAAGGCCTTATGGTGATGTTTAAATCTTATGAGAATCATATAGGGCCATAATATCATTTTATACATGAATAACAACAAATCCTTCTCAAACCAATCCCAAGCAAAATGCACACATTATGCTACACGCATTCATACAAGCAAACAAGCTACACATGTTGATCTACAAGTGTTATAGTTGAGTTAGAAGGTGACACATTACTCCAAAACAGCTAGAATCCCTCTTAGCTTAACCAATCATAAACTTTTCATTGTTCTTATCTTTAAAGCTTTGTCCCACTTCTCTCATAATCAACAAGAAAGAAACAAGTTATTAACTTATCTAGGAACTTGAAAAGAAGTCAAAGAACTTCCTACATACTGAAATACAATCAAAATGGGTGATTAAGTAAGGGTTCTAAAACCTATTCTAAACCCTCACCATGGCCAAACTTATAGAAAGAGCTTGAATTGAAGCTTTAAGTGAGGAGATTATATTATTAACTTTGTAAACTCGGACTAGGAATGTTGACAAAAAAGTTCTTACCTTAATCAAGCTACCGAGAAGAAAAGATATATTATAAAATGAAATATTTTTTATGTGTCATGTTATCAAACTAACGACATTTAACGTCTAAGTGACCAAAACTTAATAAAACGATAACATTCCAAAATTATTTAGAGATAAAATGGTATTTAAATTTATGGGTCAAATTAGTATTTTATCTCAGTTTAAGGATTAAATTTAAAATTAACCTCAAAATTAAAATTACACTCTTTTTAAATAATGTATCACGTCATCAAACTAACCACATTTAACGTTACATGATCAAAATGTTATAATCGATAACAACTACAAAAGTGACAAAAAATTATAAATTGATAACATAAGTGACATGAATATTATTTTAGTCACTCACATTATCATTTTATTAAATTTTGGTCACTTTAACGTTGAATGTCGTTAGCTAAACACAACTTAGAGACAAGTTTTTAATTTATCTTTTATAATATGTTTTTCTTCATCTTTGTCGAAGCCCTAACCCCTTGTGTTGGCTCTCTCTTCATCTTCTCGTCACCGATAATCTATGTTCGACTTTCAAGCATCCATTATGAATATATAAATAATCTAATATCTATGTGTCGCAAAACAGCGATGCTCTTCGCAGCGTCTTCGAATCCAATGCCGATTTCAAGATCGTTGCGACGGAACATCATACGAAGTTGATGACACTTTTCCAAAACTATACCGTGTTAGAAACATCTGAATAGATACTGGCTCCGGTGATGGTGTCGTGTGACACCAAAACCCTACCCTTATGTCGTATTGTATTGCCATAGCCAGTTGACGAGAACAGAGTTTTAAGGTATCATTGGGTGGTAAGAATGGTGATGGGTGACCGCGCTTGCTGTTGTCACATGGATACTTTGCAGTGGAACCGAAACCATGTGTCGTTTCGCGTGCTGGGGATCAAACCTTGGACACTTCCTGTCTGCCTTTTCTTCCCGGCGGACAACTTTGTTCTGTTCCGGCACTGAATTTGAAATACTTGTGTTTGTTGCGAGACATGTGTTGTCTCGAGTAATAAAAACTTTATAGAAGATAGATTAAATTATTTCTGTTTTGATGTTCCAATTATTTTTTCTTTAAAATTATATTTATGTTATGTTTTGCTTTATTTTTACCTACCATTTAGTTTGGTAGTTAAATTAACGAAAACAATGATATCTCATGGTTTAATAATAGTTTTAGTCCTCAAAATTACACAGTGTATTAAATTAGTCATAATTTAAAATAATTCAATAGATTACTTTGTCGTTAAAATTTGACTTTCTGTCAAATTTTGGCCACGGTCTCGTTAAAATTTTGCTAAAACCCTTTCGAATTGAAGTTACAATATCTTCCATGGGTAATTATAGTTGGCTTTCTGGAACAAGAACTTGGAAATTACTGAATGCAAAGTGATGTTTTATTCGGTTACATGCATGCACCACGAGTCATGGTTTTCGTAAATCGGCCATCAAGTATTAATAAATTAAATCCTACATCAAGCATTAAAAAATTAAAAAAAAATATTTAAATTAAAATATGATGAATCAATTAATAGGATTTTGAATATTAGCTTTTATTGAATTATTTCAAATTATGATGAATTTAATAGAATATGTGAGTTTTGATGACTAATATTGTTATTATACTGCCATAACATCATTTTCGTTATAGTCAAATTGAACATTGGGAGACAAAAATAGAAACGTAGTTAGAAATGGTTGTGAAAAAAAAGTTGAGTGACCAAAACAAAAACATGAGAATAGATGGGTGACAAATAATTAGTTAACCTAAAAATAATTAAGTCCTCAAATTTTATAGAAAATCATTTAAATTTTATGCCATATCATCATTCACATGTTATCTGTTTCTTTGAAAGCTCTAAGAAGATTAATACCAATAATCAAAACAGAAAATGAGAATAGATGGTTTTGACTGGACCGGTTCGATTTAGCTGGATCGGTTTCAGAAGCTTCCTGGAGCGGCGGACAAATCTCACGCGCACTATAGGCGAGTGACGGCTTTGTACGGAGTCAATTGAACATTGGGAGACAAAAATAGAAACGTAGTATTAGAAATGGTTGTGAAAAAAAAGTTGAGTGACCAAAACAAAAACATGAGAATAGATGGGTGACAAATAATTAGTTTAACCTAAAAATAATTAAGTCCTCAAATTTTATAGAAAATCATTTAAATTTTATGCCATATCATCATTCACATGTTATCTGTTTTCTTGAAAGCTCTAAGAAGATTAATACCAATAATCAAAACAGAAAATGAGAATAGATGGTTTGACTGGACCGGTTCGATTTAGCTGGATCGGTTTCAGAAGCTTCCTGGAGCGGCGGACAAATCTCACGCGCACTATAGGCGAGTGACGGCTTTTACGGCGGCAACAAGGGTCGGGACGGACGGCCGAAGACTCCCGAAGCATTCTCACACCAAAACAATCCCAAATCAATACCAATAATCAACTAAAACAAAATAAGAATGACAAAGGGAGCGATTGGAGTTCATTACCAATGGTGACCGGAGAAAAACACGACGACAGGGACACTGCCAACTGGGCCCTAACTGCGACTGAATGGGGACTCAATGGTGAGGGTGGTGTAATTCAACGGGGACGTAATCGACGTAAATTTAAAGAAATCGAAGGCGGTGGCTTGGTTTCCCATCGAACGCTTCAAACGTCGTTTCTCAACAAATGTCAACATATCAAGGCAAGGGACAATGAGGTTTTTGATCGCACGGCACCGACGGTCCCAACGGCGATGGTGGTGCACGACACTGTCGACCAGAGCTTAAACGACGATGAGGGAAGTGGTTTTGGATGAGGAGACCAATCCCTTACACTTACAACAAGATAACTGAACCACTCCAGCCCTAACCCGATTATCACCTAGCTTTAAAGATAGCATCCCTAGATAAACTATCAGTAGTCAGCCAATCAGCCAATGATCCACAAGAACTCGACTCACCTTTAAAATCAACCAACTTAATAATGTTAATCCGATCATAACCCGAAAGATCAATCCTAGAGTCTCAATAATCCGATCATTAATTACTACAAAATCACGATTTAGATCAATATCAAGTTTTCTGTTTGTATTATTTTCGTTAAAACGAATATATATTGCATTTCCGACATTCAATTGAGGCGTTTCAAGATTATTAAAAAGATAACTGAAAGACCATTCATACGTAAGACGACATCTCAGCCCAAAACTATATGAATATCATCCAAAAATTCATTGTAAGTCGCTTGATATTCACTTCAAAATCCACTTTAATTTCTTATTCAAAATTATTATTATTTATTTTAAGATAAATCTCAAAAATAACATGAATACGTGTGTGAAGATCAAACGTCATCCTCGATAGGTCCCCAGAAATCTCTCTGGCATACCCGGGTTAACTATAATCGTACCCATTCAACATGAGACGTATACCCAAGTTATACTTATACTTATGTCCATCTTGTACTCATCTCAGAGACGTATTAAGTACTTAAAATGGTATCAGATTACCATACCCGTGTAACATAGTTTAATTTAATAAAAAATTAAAATTAAAATCAAAATATTATTTAAAAAATTGAGTGCAAAAGATGAATATGTTTTTAATTAATGATTTTCTTTACTTTCTTTTGTCACTTTTACACAGAGCTTATGTCCAAATGAAATAATTTTTCATCAATTTGGAAATATAAATAGGAGACAATGCTTCACCCATCTTCAATTATTGATCTTTCTGGCCATATATATATATAAATACAACACAGATATTATTTGAATACATAAGATTCTTCTTCCTTGAAAGCCCATATTTTATTAAACGATTACTTCTCTTTTGATGAACATAGTCTTCAGGTGAACAACAACAAACTTCACAGTCTCTGCAAATCAACTATAGATTGATCCAATTTAAATTCCGTCTCAAAAGATTATCTATTTCTACATGTACTTAAACTTACTAATTTTTCGGATGGTAGAAAAAAGGAATTGGATTATAACATATTCTTTTCCTGCATTGTCCATTTCTTGACCATCTATTTATAAAAGATAAAATAAAAGAACTATAAACCGATCAAAATTTAAATTCGTAACAAAAGATTTATCCATTTCTACATGTTACTGAAACTTACCAATTTTCTTCGGATGGTAGAAAAAAGGAATTGGATTTATAACAGATTCTTTTTCTGCATTATCTATTTCCTGATCATCTATTTATAAGAGATAAAATAAAGAATTATAGACCGATCAAAATTATTTAAATTTGTAACAAAAGATTTATCTATTTCTACATGTTACTGAAACTTACCAACTTTCTTCGTATGGTAGAAAACAGGAATTGGGTTTATAACATTTTCTTTTCCTGCATTGTCCATTTCCTGACCATCTATGTATAAGAGATAAAATAAAAGAATTATAGACCGATAAAAATTTCAATTTGTAACAAAAGATTTATCCATTTCTACATGTTACTGAAACTTGCCAACTTTCTTCGGATGGTAAAAAAAAGGAATTGGGTTTATGACATATTCTTTTCCTGCATTGTCCATTTCCTGACCATCTATTTATAAGAGATAAAATAAAAGAGTTATAGACCGATCAAAATTTAAATTTATAACAAAAGATTTATCCATTTCTACATGTTACTGAAACTTACCAACTTTCTTCGTATGGTAGAAAAAAGGAATTGGGTTTATAACATATTCTTTTCCTGCATTGTCCATTTCCTGACCATCTATTTATAAGAGATAAAATAAAAGAATTATAGACCGATCAAAATTTCAATTTGTAACAAAAGATTTTTCCATTTCTACATGTTACTGAAACTTACCAACTTTCTACGGATGGTAGAAAAAAGGAATTGGGTTTATGACATATTCTTTTCCTGCATTGTCCATTTTCTGACCATCTTTTTATAAGAGATAAAATAAAAGAATTATAAACCGATCAAAATTTAAATTTGTAACAAAATATTTATCCATTACTACAAGTTATTGAAACTTACCAACTTTCTTCGGATGGTAGAAAAAAGGAATTGGGTTTATAACATATTCTTTTCATGCATTGATCATTTCCTGACCATCTATTTATAAGAGATAAAATAAAATAATTATAGACCGATCAAAATTTAAATTTGTAGCAATATTTATCCATTTCTACATGTTACTGAAACTTATCAACTTTCTTCGGATGGTAGAAAAAAGGAATTGGGTTTATAACATATTCTTTTCATGTATTATCCATTTCATGACCATCTTTTTATAAGAGATAAAATAAAATAATTATAGATCGATCAAAATTTAATTTCTTAACAGAAGATTTATCCATTTTTAATTGTTACTAACTTACCAACTTTCTGAAACTTTTCTTTCGTTTCATCATTATACCCCTCGCCTGGCCCTTTTCTTGCTGCGATTGTGTTAGAAAACTGCATAATAATTAAGCAATTGAGAGTTTTTAATCATGAGTTTTATCAATATTTGATATTGTTTATTTTACTTTAATTTTGACTAAATTTGCATTCATTTTAAAAATCAGATATTTTATGTTACGTTGTACGTGGATAGTATAGTAATTTAAATTTAACTTTTTATTTATCAAATACAATTTTGTATTAATTTAACTATTTTATCATAAAAAGTACATATTTTATTAAATGAGTCAAAGTAAAAAAATTAAAACTCAACAAGGGTCTCACTAGTAAAAGAAAAAAATTATCATTTTCAGAGGTCCTAGATTTGATAAACTTGTACATCCTATAGATGCAACTATTCAAATTCAGGATCTCTAGGGTGAATAACAATCATTTTTACTTAGTAATGGGCATGGGTCGGGTTAGGTTTTCGACCAACCCAATACGACCCAAAAAAGTATGCACTCACTACCCGAAATCTGACCCGACTTGAGTTTAAGGTGATTTCACCCGACTCGAAATATATTATAAAAATTTATTTTATTTTATAGGAATCTATGGAAAAAATATAGAGAGATATTATTATAATTATCCCTAAATAAGATATGATTACATTATTTTTATAATCAGATATTGTTCACAATAAATTTGAACTCGATCTGATCTGAACTTATTTTTTTTTTAAATCTGGCCCAACAAAATCGGGTAAAGACTAAACATGTTAAATTCGAATCTCGTACCAATCCCTATTTTTATAACTAAAACCACTACATGGATTATTAATTACTTGTTTTTCAAACATAAATGCTTAAGGAATGTAAAGAAAATAATGAGGAAAAAGAAAATGTACCAAAAGTATGCAGAGGAAAAAAAATTATATTATATTTTAAATAAGTGTCACCTAACCAATATTAAATAGCAAATTGTAGATTATATTTTAATTGAACAAAAAGATAAGTAAGAGTCACGTTCGATTATATTATTAGGAAAAAAATTAAATAATCGAATAAATATTTCTACGATGTTTATAATTTTAATTGGTTATGATGACTCCTCTAAAAGGGCTATTGACACTGGTGGCGAATTACAGAGTTTTCAAGGAAGAAAAACAAGAAATGATAAATTATTTTTTTATGAAAAATGAGAAAATTTTTAAGAGAAAGAGATTATTTGATTTAAGTCTCTAATTAAATTAATATTTATATTCATTAATTTGTTAATTTATATTTTTAAATTTGTTAATATGAAATAATAGAGTACAATGATGATGATTCAGTGAATATATAGAGATTATGTTTTTCATATTTGATTAATTATTTTAAAATGTTGAATAAATGGTTTTAAAAGAAAAAAAATTAATCCCTTTGATAAACCGTGTGACACTTAAATCAAATATGTTTTAAGGGATCAGTTAAGGTACAAAGAAGCTGGAATATAGGATGAGAGGAGAGAAAATGGGTTTGGATATGTGGATGGATGTTCTCTTATTGTATGGATATGGGTCCTGACAAACGGATTTTGGGCCTAAATTTTTTTTGACAAGACAATATGTTAATACAAGATTGATCAAGTGGAGGAGGACCGAGATCTCCATTTTGAAGTCAAAAGAGAATTACTGATAAACATTTATGCACATAAGAAAGCCATGCATTACATTTAGATACATGTCTATTGAATTCACATTTCAAGCATCAAAGCATATTTTTACAGATTTTTCAAGAAAATAAGAGAAGAAAAAGACAGAATTCAAGCCTCGAATAGAGGGATTTTTGTTCAAAGTGACTAAGCATCAAGGATTGAGGAGTCCAGTAAAGAAGAATCATTACTTCGATGTGGGGGCACATTACCCAAACGACATGATGTTTTCAAAAGAATTTTTAAAGAAACTAAGCCTGATTTTTAGGGGTTTCTTGATGATGATTTCCAATGAATTTTTATAATAAGCTAAGCCTAATTTTTAGGGGTTTCTTGATATTTTCAAATGATTTTATAGAAACTAAGTCTGATTTTCAAAGGATTCATGATGATTATTTCCAAATAATTTTTAAAGAAGCAAAACCTAATTTTTAGGGGATTCTTTATGATAATTGTAAACGATATATTTTAAGAAACTAAGCTTGATTTTCAAGGGTTTCTTAATGAGTAAGTCCTTCGGGCCATCAGTAAGTCTTTCGAGCATGATGCTTAAATCCTTCGGGTCATCTATAAGTCTTTCGAGCAAGATGATAAGTCCTTCGGACCATCATAAGACCTTCAGGAAGGATATTTTCAACATTTCCTTTGCTCAATTCACAACACTTCGAATCAGCAACGCCCCACCAGAGGGGTTAACATTTCCTATTACTCGATTCACAACACTTCGAATCAGCTTAAGTCATTTGGGCCATCAGTAAGTCTTTCGAGCATGATGATTAAATCCTTCGGGTCATCTATAAGTCTTTCGAGCAAGATGATAAGTCCTTCGGGCCATCCAAAAGACCTTCGGGTAGGGTGTTTCCAACATTTCCTTTGCTCGATTCACAACACTTCGAATCAGTAACGCCCCACCAGAGGAGTTCAGATTTCCTTTTCTCGAAGGACTCGACGATTTCATAGAAAGAGAAGAATTGAAATTCCCAGCGAAGAGTTCACAGCTTGACAATAAGAGACCACATTGAAAAATGGTGCTTTGCGTCTTTGCTCTATTCCCGTTTTACAGTAATGAGAAAAGAGGGGCAGTTGTAAGCACTATTTTTCTAATTCAACCAATAGACCCGGGCCTCAATCCAACCTATTACAAAACCTGGCCCAAACCGAAGTAAAACCTAAACCAGTGCCCAAACCCAACCAGATCCAAACCAACCAGAACCCAGATTTAATACCCACCTAGGGCCCAAAACTAGACGACCCGGGTCTCCCTAACCCTAGGGTAGCCGCTCATTCACCAATCAGCACCTGCCCCCTCTTCCCTAATCCCAGTCGAGGCCTCCACGCACGCCACTTCTGCCACACCATCACCTTAGAAACAAGCAAGAAAAAAAACAAAGTTTTGAATCATTTCATTATGTAAAAAATAAGTATAAAGACCCATGCATGTTGTCGAAACGATTTTTAAAACGGGTGGGGAAGCGAGATTTAGAAAACTGCGTCATTTTTAATTATTATCTTTTCAATTGAATTTTTAATTAAAAACAGTGCGATTTTAGAAAACCTCTCGTTTCGAAAAATGGGAAATTCCTTTACGATAAAAATATAAGGTTCGAGGAGTCGCCACCAATCTTTGATTAGGATGTGATTGGACACCCAAAAACATTGTCATTTTAAATAAAAATCAATTTTAATTAAAACAACAAATTGAGGTCCGCGTTACCAAAATTCGAGTTCAGGAGTCGATTACGCGTGGGGAAGGATTAGCGCCCCCACAACGCCCTAAGTCGGTACCTCGTCAATTAATTAATGTCTTTGCAATGAAATTTACAAATTCGAGTTTAATTTAGTTTATGATCCCCAACAAAACAATAACATACAAATTTACCAAACTTAAAAGCATAAAAATTGATTAAGTTAAAATTACCAAGCCTTTAGAAAGATAAAGGATATTCGATTATTTAAAGACATCGAGACCGGATCTTAAATAGTTATAACAACCTTTTCTCGATAAATTTAAATAGCCGAACATTTCTTTTCCTTTCGTTCCCAAATTTTAAAAGTGATAAAACAATTTCTTAGGTGTCACTGATGGGATACACTTTTAATTTAAAATCGTTAGAAGATGATATCTAATAAGTTAAGACAACCCACTTAAAATAATTTTAAATTAAAAGGGTATTACCCTTAGTCCAATTATGAATAATGTCGAGTTATGCAAATGAGGCTATCATGCAAATTATGCAAAAAATGACGTCATGCAAAGATTAATTAAATAAAAGGATACATTACATATAAATCTATGCTTATGAACCACGTAATTACATATGCACACATATCACCATCATTCAAACCTAGAAAACGCATACATCCTAAATGAATCCTAACTAATCACACATGCCTACACATAAGAAACTTAAACATGGACCAAAACGTAACATGTAAAAACTTGGAGCCCTAATGTCTAAATGACGAAAACAAAATAACCAACATTTATGACTTAAATTAAAAGCGCATGAAATACAACGATCAAATTAAAAACACAACAAATTGGATTTAAAAACTAAAACGCCAATTAACCAAAGTTGCGTGCCAAATGCGAAAACAAACAAAAAAAAGAAAAATAACATAAACAGATAACTAAAAAAACGCTTACACACATGAAGAACAAATTATAAACTTGGAAAATGTGATTTAGTGACTAAAATGTAGCATGCAAAACAACGGAAGTCAAAAGTCTAAAATAACAAAATTTAAATAAAATAACGCCTGGGACCGAAATGAAATCCACGAAAATACAGAGACAAAATAAAAAACATGCAAACTGCGACCTAGGGACTAAAATGTAACATACGAAAATTAACAGTCAAATCTAAAAAATAAAGGAAATCACATACATTGCCACAGGACTGAAATTAAAGATACATAAAATATAGATGCAAAATTGGAAACAAAGAAATAAATGATTAGGGACCGAGATGAAATACACGCAAGGCCTAGTGATTAAATCAGAATTTCGTATATCTCAATTTGTGGACTAAAATGCATACAG